GCTTTCCTCGTGGCAGTTACTTCAGCCCGTAGATCTTCTGAACTTTGTGCCCTTAGGGTAGACCCTCCTTTTCTGAATTTTCATAAGGAAAAAGGTAGTTCTATGGCTAGACCCGTCCTTTCTTCCTAAGATCTCTACTTCGTTCCACATGCATCAAGAGACCATTGTACCGGCATTCTTTCCGGCTCCTTCGAATCCGATAGAGAGGTCCCTGCATATGCTGGATGTTCGTTGTTGCCTAGCTTTTTATAGGTCCAGGACTGAGTCTGTTTGACACTCTAACAGACTTTTTGTTAAACACTCAGAGCACCACCGGGGCTATCCGGTTACTTCCCAACGACTTTCGAAATGGATGGTAAATACGATTGCTCTGTCTTACCAGTTGGCTAAATTGGACTTACCATCTACTCCAAGAGGTCACTCTATCGGAGCTGTTGCTGCTTCCTCAGCCTTTGCATCGGGAGTCCCGATGGAAGACGTCTGCAGAGCTGCCACTTGGGCTACCCCGTGTACCTTTGCCAGATACTATAGACTAGATGTTTGTGCCAGACAAGATTGCTCTTTTGGCAGGGCTGTTCTTTCTTCTATTCTTCGTTGATGACACCTCCCTCCTCCAGTTCGGGTAAGCTTGTTATTCTACCCATATGTGTGATGCACAGAGGCCACGACGAAGAAGAGCAGGTTGCTTACCTGTAACTGATGTTCTTCGAGTGGCCATCTATGCAGTCACACAACCCACCCACCGACCCCACTTGGTGTCATGGGTGGTCCGACTTTCTTCTCTTCGATGCTAGGATCTCTCTAGCTATTGGTTGTACCACTGAAGTTTTAGTTTTTTCCATACTGACAATAACTTTATTAAGGGAGCGAACGTCTGGTCTTTCAAAGACTGGAAAATGGCGGATACTCTGCTCCTTATACTGGGGGGAGGGGGAGTGGAGTTTCCCGCCAAAACTGTTAGCTGTTAATCTTCTAGCCAAAGGCACTGTGCAGACGCAGAACCCATATGTGTGACTGCACAGATGACCACTCGAAGAACATCAGTTACAGGTAAGCAACCTGCTCTTACCAAGAGCTACTAAGGCATGTTGTGATTCATGGTCTGGTTGTAATCCAGAACCTAAAGGCTCTGCTGGTCAAAAATGTAAGGCTGTTATGGGTCCCATATATGGCCAGTACAAGAGCAAGGTTGGGATATGTGATCCCCAGTCCTGAATTATAGCAGGCCCCAGACTCTGATTTGTTGGCCAGGCATGAAGAAAAGATTATATTGCTTGTAATTGTCCTGGCCAGTTCAGAGGTATTACACTGCTTGATAATTGCAGCATTTTGTAAACATGTGAAAGAAGTAATTGAGCAGACACAGTCAGCTGGGGAAGTGGTATCTCCCCAACAAATGATGTAGATGGTGAACACGTTCATTGTCAGCCTGGGCACTGCTGTTGACGAAGCAGACACCTGCCAGGATTCTAACTCCAAAGACTGAAGGACCGAAGACCCAATCTTTCTTTCCCTTTAACTATCATTGTACTATTGTAATTCCCCTCCAAACTATACATACAGAGGTGCACAGGAAAGTAACGTTTGGAACTGGTGCGCACATTCAAAACACATACTATACACACACACCACAGGTCATGTACACATACACACATACTCATTCAGAGATGGAGCAGTAACTGGCCCTGCTGCTCCTTGTTTTCTGACCTCCATAAAGAAAGACAGGTAGGCAGACTGGCTGCATCTGCTCTGAATACTGGGCCCCTCCAGCTTGCTTAGATGACCCCCTCCCTTGTGGAAGGGAGGAGCTACTCCTGATTGGCCACCTATTTTATTTTTTTATTTATTTCGATTTATATCCTGCCTTTTTCCTACAAAGGGCTCAAGGCAGCTTACATCTCCTCCTCCATCTTATCCCCACAACAACAACCCTGTGAGGTAGGTTGGGCTGAGGATCTGTGACTGGCCCAAAGTCACCCAGTTGGCTCCATGGCTGAGCGGGGACTAGAACCCAGATCGTCTTAGTCCCAGTTCCGTTCTATTAACCACTACACCACACTGGCTCCCTAAAGGTAATAGCAGTTCTACGCTGATGCACTGGAGTGTTAAGAGTGTTCTGAGCACATGTGGGAGTTCACACTTGCTCAGTAGTGTTTCTGAAGCTGCTGTTATCTCAAGAGGTCCAGCATGATAGCTCAGCAGCAGTAGAGAATTTTTTTATTAAAAAATCGGACAGAAATAATGGGGGGAATTACAATGGCAGAATGGTGCCCAGAGTGCCTCCAAATGGGAGTTAATGTAAATTATATAAATTATTTGTGGTGCTCAAATAAAATAACAAAAATAAAACTAAACAGAAAGTTATGACTTAAATATTACTTTGTAATTTATGTCTGGATACCTTATAGATCTAAGTACATTTTAGAACTTGTTTGATTTAAGATGGCCTTTTTTGTTATTCTTAATGGCATGTGAGTAAGCAGTTGCGCCTTTTAAGAAGTTATTCACTTTTAATGGTAAGTCATCAAGGGTTAATTTCTCTGTTGGGTTTAGTGGAGCATACCAGCTGTGATTTTAAATATGCAAGCAGCCTCATGCTTGTAGTTTCCTGTGTTGTACAAACCTGATGGTGTTGGTTGTTTGAGAAGGCAGATAACTTTAAAGTAATGTATAGCCTTTTTTAGGATTATTTAAGGGGTTTCTAACCCCTTTCAAACAACTCACAGCAAAAGGTTTGCTTGGCATGGCATGGCATGGCATGGGGAATCTTGCCTGCCTACTCCTGGGTAGATGGCCATGCTTGTGGCAATGATGGAAGCTGTAGTGGAAAACCTGCAAGGCACCAGGTTGAGGAAGCCTGCTATAACCTCTACAATGGGTTGGATCCAGGGTCTGCCTTCTGTGGTCTCACAGAAAATGTGGCTTTCTCTAGCACAGTCCCTGAAGTCTACATCTTTATCCTATCCAACTTGTGTAATGGCAGATTGAATGGTAATAGTGTGCTGTTAAGGGAAAGGATTGGAAATCATGAGAGTATTGTGCATGACTTGAAAGCTTCATCGCCAGAACACTGGGACATTGACAATTACTGCTTCCATGTTTTCTAATCTCTCATTTGCAAAGGCAAAAGATTTTCTTTTAAGAAACCAAAATTTAAGTTGTCACATTTTACCAACTTCTTTGCAATGTTTTGTTAAATCCATGGCTAAGGATTACTTTGGTTCTAGTCACTTGAGCAAGTACTCTACGTGATGTGTAGACAGATCTAGCATCAGAGGACCGGAAGACTGCAATAGCACCAAAAGCAAGTGTTTAATTTAGTTGGAGGTATTGGTGAAATAGAGGCCTAATTGCTTGTATAGCAGGGTTCATTTTTTTTTAAATGCCTCTAGAAATTGTTAGCCATATGACTGGCTGGCACAGGTACCATCTCTGTTACAGTAAAACTTTTATTCTAGTCCACACTTCAGTTGCTTCTTTGTATTTTTCTCTTTCCTCTTAGGCAGTTATTTTTGGCCTTGTTGTCTTCCATACGTTGGACATTGTCTGCTTCCTAAAATTGTAGCAGTCACATCTGGTGTTTTCAGATGTTGGTTGAGCAGATTTGTAGGGGAATGGTATTACAGGAGTCCCCTGAAATTTGTGGGGGTTACGTTCCTAAAGCACCCACAAATTGTGAAAAACCGTGAATTTGGTGCCGGCGATGGGTGCCGGCCACCAAGGTGGTGCAGGTAGGAGGTGCTGGGGTGCGGGCGTGCGCGCATGGCGAGGCAGGGGCTGGGGTACGCATGTGCAGAGATCGTTTTCTCCGAACAAGTCCAAACTTGGGGGAAATGATCTCCTTGTGAGTAAGCTGCTGCACGGCGAGGCTCCAGCTTACTCGCAAGGAGATAGGCTTGGACCTGCTTGGAGAAAAATCCCACAAAAGACTGAAGCTGTAGATGCTGAACCGCGACTTCACGGGGGTATACTGTAATTAAACTAGAGCAAAATTGTATAAAATTATGAATGTTTATCTAAATGTTATGAATAATTTGTAATAATAATTTAAAATAACTAAAATGAAATTTGAACATAAGTTTATCTGCTAAATGGTTTGTAATGAAAGTTCTGATCTAATACAGTGGTACCTTGGCTCACGAAAACCTTGGTTCACAAACAAATTGGGTCACGAACAAAAATTTCTGAAAAATTTTGACTTGGGTCACGAACACTGCTTTGGGTGGTGACCAGAATCGCAGCTATCTCCCCCCCCCCTCCGAGTGGGGAGATGGCCACGATCCCAGTTGTTTTTGTGCAGGGAAGGCGTGCATGATCAGAGGCGCACTGCTGCAGGAAAGACAGGAGCAGCAAAGCAGAGCCTCAGGAGAATGGCCGAGATTCCACCCCTTTCCTGCAGGAGCGCGCCTCTGATCAGGCACGCCTTCCTGCACAAACAGAACTGTGATCACAGTCATCTCCCCACCCCCAGCGCACTGTTTGTGTCCATCTCTCCCTCCCCTGGTGCACCTGCAATCATGCCCATCTCTCCTCCACACCCCCCAGTGCACCGGGATGATGGGCTCCTGCAGGGATGGCAGGCGCAATCTCAGTTGTGCTTGGGGGGGGGGAGATGGCTGTGCTTGTGGTGCGGGGGCGGGGATGGCCGTGATCTTTGTTGTTGTCACTTTGCTTCACATTTTTCTGATTTTAAAAAATGGTTACAGAATGGATTAACCTTCTTTACATTGAACCTTATGGGGAAATTTAACTTGGCTCATAACCAATTTGGGTCATGACCAGAGTCCTGGAACGGATTAAGTTCGTGAGCCAAGGTACCACTGTATAACCAGTGCTTTATAAATCATTACTTAAGATAGCCTGTTAAGAGTATGTGAACAAAGTAGGTTTAGTTATTTTGATGGTTAATGCTACTCTGAATTTCAAGCATATTTTATAACTTTTAAAATCAGGCGTGTAAAAAAACAAAACAAAAACTAATAGACTTGGACTTATTTTAGAGTCTTTCAGCTAATTTCTTTGATGGATGCCCAACTACCACGCTGTAGCAATGAGAAAGTGGAACTTGCAGTACTTTGGTTTTTGGATCAGTTCCGTAAAACATACGTAGGAGATCAACTCCAGCGCACCTCAAAGGTAGGTGTTTTCCCTAAACTACTTGTTCAAATTTATTTTAAACAGAGGAGCTGACGTAGCTGTCCATGGATGGTACCAAAACTTCCTTCTTTGTTGTGGTCTCTGTGCATCACAAATATGGGCTTTGTATGCATGCATGGAGCTCATTCGGGAAGATACCAGAGCTGATTAATTATTATTTGGCAGGAGCCAACCTCTAGCCATGCCCAGCATGGGGGGAGGGGCTCCCACCAAGAGCTCAGCTCTTTGATCACCATTGTGTGTGCATTGGGAAGTTCTTTGTCTGCTTCTTCCCAATACAAACTTTTGTTTGTTCTTCAACCTCCTAGATCTCCTTTGTCTTCAGGTATGTTTTTCTTGTCCTTTGTATTTTCTCTGTCTCTCCTGCAAAAAAAAAAAAAAAAGCTGCCTATTTTTTTTTTCTGAAGCAGCTAAGGAAATACCAGGCAGCTTGCCCAAAAGTTGAACTATGAAACTGTGCCCTTCACGTAGGCAACTCTCCTCAGCAGTCCATTTTGGGAGCTTCATTCCCTGAACTTTCAATGGAGCAGTTCTCCCAGAAAAACACTCCAAACTGGACACATTCAAAAACTCATAAAATACCAAATCTTGGAAAATGCCCAGTCTTTCTAAAGGCAGAGATGGAGGAACATGTGCGAGATGTGAGAGTTCCCCTCTCCTGTAATACAACAGTCTGGCATTGTCTTTGCTCTGAGACTCAACTCACAATTATCCTTGATTCCAAGCATATTTATTGCAGCTGAATATGAAAGATGCAGACATAGTCTTGCTCCCCAGTAGCTCATAGGAACCACAGATCCCACTGGCCAACTTGGCTTCGGAGGTGTGAGTTTGAAGCCGCTTATTATAAAGAGTGTTGGGTTTCCCTTGACTTCAGACAAGGCATGCCTCTCTGGAGCCCTGTAGGTTCTGATCAGTTATCTACTCAAACTGACATGATTATACTGACACAGCTTCCATGATCAGACAGGTATGCTGGAGAAACAGTGACCCAGTACTTTCCTCCATCCCATACTTGACCATCTCTTACTAAATCATCACATCACCATTGCATGGCATTCGTGAGCCAGCTGAGTCAGGCCCTGAGCCTTATATCTCAACTTTAAAAACAAATTCCACAGACCTACCAATCCATTCAGGTAGGATCTGCCTTGTGCCTCAGAGGATACTGGCTTCTTCTCCACTCAGGTCCTCCATGTGGCCCACCCATGCAAGGATCCTGGCAGGGCGAAAGATCCAGTCTTCGAAGCAGTCTATGTCAAGGCTGCCACACCAGTCACCATACCCCCTCCTGCCTGTCCTACTCAATGTGGTGCATCAGGAGTGGAAGTCTCCTGCATCATTAGCTCTCCCTTCTCTTGAAAATATGTTTGGGTACAAGAAAAAGATGCAGAATTCCTTTTTCAGCACCTGCACACAAATTCAATCATAGCTGAATCCTCTCAAGGTCCTTCCAGGAGAGAACAGCCTACCCTGGCCAATAGAGAAGGCAGTTGCCTCAATGCAGTTGACCATCAATGCTACTTCTCCACTGCATTATTCATCAAGATAGCCAATTACCAGGCAGTGATGGCCACTTGGACTCTCAGGACCTAGTTAATGAAAACAAAACTGGTGCTTCTCACCTTGAATGCTATGAGATTCACACTGCTGGACAGCAGGCAGTGTGTGGTACCAGGAACCACTGGGAGAGGTCATCAGGAGGTTTGGACTGTGGAGTCATCAGTATGCTGATGACACCCAGGTCTACCTCTCTCTTTCAGCTAACCCAGGTGAGGCAGTGGCTATACTGAACTGGTGCCTGGCCGAGGTAATGGGCTGGATGAGGGCCAATAAACTGAAGCTCAATCCAGATAAGACAGAGGTTCTGTTGGTGGGTGATTCGAGCTCCTGGGTAGGGGACTTGGGCCTTGCCCTGGACGGGGTTGCACTCCCTCTAAAGGACAGGGTCCACAGCTTGGGACTGCTCCTCGACCCGGAGCTGTCCTTGGAAGCTCAAGTGACTGCGGTGGCGAGGAGCGCTTTCCTTCAGCTTCGGCTTATCCATCAGCTGCGTCACTACCTGGAGGAAGATTGCCTAGCAACAGTAACACATGCATTGGTTACTTCCCGGTTGGACTTCTGTAACGCGCTTTACGTGGGGCTGCCCTTGAAGACAGTCTGGATACTTCAGATGGTGCAAAACGGAGCTGCCAGGATGCTGTTGGGAACTGGGCGTTACTCTCATATAACCCCAGTCCTCTTTCAGCTCCACTGGCTTCCCATCGAAGTCCGGGCTCAATTCAAGGTGCTGGTTATTACCTATAAAGCCCTAAACGGCTTGGGACCAGGATACCTAAAGGAACACCTTCTTCCCTATTTGCCCTCCCACCCCCTGAGATCGGCAGCAGAAGCCCTCCTCCGGAAACCCTCTGTGAAAGATACTAGACAGAGTACCTGGAGGAGGGCCTTCTCTGCAGTGGCGCCTTGACTATGGAATGTGCTCCCCAGAGAGGTCCGCCTGGCACCGTCATTGTATAACACCTGGCGTTATTTTAATTAATATTATTTATTTATTTTATTCTTTGGCCAGGTTGACTCAAATTATATTGTTTTTATATTGTGATTATTTATTGTTGTGAGCCACCCTGAGGCTTCAGTGAATGGGGTGGCATAAAAGCTTCCTAAATACATAAATAAATAAATAATTAAAATAAAATAAAAGTATGTATTATGTATGTTTTTCGGCTCCAGGTTTAGACCTTTTTATTTAATCAATATTTTAACAAGTTTTAATATTGAATTTTATTATCATATTTTAACTGCAGCCAGAGTGGGTCATTAATTTATGTTATACTTTTATGAATTTGTATTTTATTTGTGTAAGCCGTCCTGAGGCTCTTGCAAAGGACGGCATACAAATATCTTAAATAAATAAATAAATACTGAAGGGGTCATAGGCCTTCACCACTTTGTGAGGCACTGGTCCTCTGGTTCCTCCATGGAGCCAAAGGCCAAGGTTGAAGACATGTGGTGCTGGTCTGTTCCACGTAGGGACTGATGACTGTATAGACTCTGTCGAAAAAGCAAGAAACACCACTCAGTGAATGGGACTCAATCAAGCACCTTCCACCCCACCATAAACCTCACATAAGTGGCAGTGAGATCTACTACACTTACCAGTCTCACCCCCACACAGCCACCACATCTAGGCACCAACCTGTCTCTCAAGGCAGATGTCCTGACATCCCCGCCAAACCTGTAGACATAAGGAAGAATCAAGAAGACACCTATGACTCCTTCTCCAGCCTGTTCAGTCCTCTAAGCCTAACATCAATCACTGTCTCCAGCCCTTCCACTTTTGGGCTGCCATCACCTTGGATTCATGGGTCCTTCCCATTATCCACTGCAGATGCCATATTGAGTTTGAAAAACTCTCTTCACCCACTGCAGTTAAAGGACCTCTTTTTCTGGGCCTCTCCTCCCTCTTCCAAAAGTGAGCAAGAGAGAGGGTTCATACTGGAACTCTTGGCTTCTACTACAGGTACTTTATAGTCCCAAAGAAGGATGGTGGTCTTTGGTCCATCCTTGAACTTAGGGGGGTCAACAAGTAAATCAAACCCAATGTTTCAGAATAGTCTCACTTCAATCCATCCTTCCACTTTTACACAAAGGTGTTTGATTCACCTTGGTGGACCTCAAAGATGTATACTTCCACTTTGCTGTTGAGGAGCCATACAGGTATTTTCTCTGCTCTGTCGTCTGTGCCAGACTCGTGTGTATCTTTATTCAGAAGATTGAGTTATTGTTGCTTCATCCTAAAGAGTTTCCTTAGTAGCTATTGAGTGCACATGTACTCTACTTAATCTACTTCTAAATCCTGTCTTTTTCACACACAGTCCGTACTTTTCATTGAAACATGTTTTGACTCCAATGCGATGAGAGCATTCCTGTCTTCAGACAGACTGTCTGCTCTTAACAGAAACATCCTCCTTATCATTCAGAAACACCCTTCCCCTGCTACCAAGATACAGCACATGCTAGGCCTTATGGCAACCTGTATGGCAACATGTGAGCTCTGCAGCTTTTGTTCTACTCCTCATTTGACCTCAGGATGGAACCTCACTCAATCAGACTTCAGATCCTCCTCAATCCAGTCAAACCTCAGGTGGTGGACCAAGAATAACAACAGCACAGTCACAGTCACATTCTTCCCACCAGAACCAACCACAGTGATTACAACAGATGTCTCACTTGTTGGGTGAGCAGCCCACTGCGGTTCAGCCAAAATACAAGAAAGATGGGGCCCACATGAATGGTCCCAACACATAAACTTTCTAGAACTCCTTGCAGTTCAGAAGGCCCTCTGAGTCTTCCAGGCACTGATCCAGGGGAAATATGTCCAAATCATTATGGACAATACCAGTGTTGTAGCATACATCAACAAACAAGAAGGAACCAGATCTCTCTCTCTCGCTCTGCTTGCCACCAAAATATGGAGATGGTGTGCTACCTGATGTACCACTCTCCTAGCCATTCATGTTGCAGAATCAGATAGCATTCTAGCAGACTCTGCAGATTTTCACACAGAACTATGAGTGGGAACTCCACTTTACCATACAACAATCCCTGTTGGATTGATGGGGTCGCCTCCACATAGAACTATTTGCCACAGCAGACAACACCACTTGCAACCTCTTCTATTCCAGAGCCAGTGTAGGCAGGAATTCACTAGGGGGTGCCTTCTTCCTCTACTGGAGTAAGAATTTCTTCTACCTATTCCTTCCCTTTCCTCTCAGTCAACGAGAGGTGGCAAAGATCTGTTGAGATTCCACAAACTCGATCCTGATCACACCTTGGTGGCCCAGACAGCAGTGGTTTGGCCATCTTCTTGACCTCTCGAGTTGTTCAACTATTCCTCCAACCAGGCCTCATTTCCCAGAATTGCAGGAGTGCCCTCCATCCAGACATATTTGCTCTCTGTCTTACGGCATGGAAAA